GATAAATAAGATATGATGAAGCTTATGTAGAAGAACTCCATGTCCATGAAACCAAGCTCCTCACTTTTATCATCTGCAGATGACAAGACAGGTGTTGATCCGGTGCTAGCACAGTCGTCAGGTAATGGACGGCCACAAAGATGAGGATTTCCCTGATAACTAACTTCATCGAAAGTTCCAAACTGACATTTCTCCGATATCATACCTGTTAAATTGTTATGCGCCACACTGAAGACTACCAAAGCGTTTAACTTGATCAGACCATTGGGGATCCTCCCGCTTAAGTTGTTAAAGGAGAGATCTAAGCTCTCGATCTGTCATAGCTATGAGAATGTTTCTGGAATTGTTCCAATATGGTAGTTGTGGGACAAGTTGAGTGCACGGATCTCACTCAAGTATCCAAGGCCATCCGGAATTTCACCATGCAANGTTGTTATAGGAGAGATCTAAGCTCTCGATCTGTCGTAGGCTCGAGAATGTTTCTGGAATTGTTCCAATAAGGTAGTTGTGGGACAAGTTGAGTGCACGGATCTCACTTAAGTTTCCAAGGCCATCCTGAATTTCACCATGCAATTTATTAGAGGAGAGATCAATTCCTGACATGTCATCGATGATGCTACCTTTGTAAGAATAAAAATTATTCTTTGTCATGAATGCACTGTAATTTGTTCAAAATCTGATATGAAATCTTCACTTTTGTAGGAAGTCACTTGATAGGCCCTTTCTAACTCAACCTTATCCATGTACGAACCGAATGTTTGAATTGAATAATCGAATGAATTGAATAACGTTTCAGACTTCTTGCTATTTATATCCAGCGTCATGTTACCAAAGCAGTGCGGAATTTGACCCGAAATAAAATTAAAACAAAGGTCCATCATACTTAGTATGTTCATCTCACAAAATTGGCAAGGGATTGTGCCTTCAAATGGTTACCTCTAAGAAGAATAATGCTCAGGCTTGATAGATTGCCAATCCATTGAGGGATACTTCCAATGAACTTATTCAATCTAAGATCCAATGTCACCAAAGAGAAGCAATTATAAAATGCATATGTGAGCTCACCCTCCAATAGGTTATTGCTCAGATAGACATGACGTATCCCTGATGGATTGAAGCAAGATGGGACTGAACCACGTAACTTGTTCTAAGATAAATCTAAGACGAGAAGATTTTCAAGATCGAAAATTTCCTCCGGGATCGGACCCTCAATCTGGTTGTTAGACAGAGAAATTAGATACAATGTTGTCATATAACCCATTGATTTAGGAATTCTGCCCGACAGACGATTGTTACTAACGTCTAACACTGCAAGAATGATGGTAGACACGCTCTTTGGAATGGTGCCTGAGAACTCATTGCTATCCAGATATAAATGGCTCAAGTCTAGTAGGTTGATATATCCTGGAAATATTTGTCCTTGCAATTTATTATCCAATAACTTGAGAAAAAACAGAGAAAAGCATCCCATTACAATTCCTGTGGTATTTCACCTGACAAATTATTGTTGGACAAGTCTATATATTCTATAGATTTTAAGTCACCGAAACTATAAGGTAAACAACTGTCAAACATATTTGCTGACATGTATAATGAAACAAATTTTGGAAAAATTGAAGTTATATTAGTTGGAACATGTCCATTGAACTCATTATTAGATACATCAAAAGTCTCCATGTTGGGATTGATGCTTGTTGTCAACTTGAGAGGTCCTCTGAAAGCATTATCCCTCAAATTTAGTCCCCTAAGTCTTGTGTTGTTC